GCTTCGTGATAGAGTACTACAAAGCCTCAAAGTAGTTATTTAGAGGTGCCACAAGTGCTTATTTTCTTCTTTTTTTTTATCTATAAAATGATTCGATTTATTTGTATAAGGCACAATTATAAACGATTTTTCGATTATTATAAAGATGTTGCGATGATAAGATTTTCTCAAAGAAAATCAATTTTAAAAAGCCTAAAAGTAGTAATTAAGCGGTCCTACATGGTTAATTTTCTCATTTTTTGAATGCATTACATAATTAAATTTATTAACTCAAGGCACAACTGTTGTTAACCGTATATTGTTCATATAAAAGCTGCTGCAATTGTGGGAAACTAAGATTTCCAAGACGTAGATACATTTTACAAAACCTAAAAATAATTATTAAGTAGTCCTACATTACTTATTTTCTTTTTTTTTAACCCTAATATGATATAGTTATGATATTTAAGGTACAAGAATTATAAACAATGCTTTGGTTGTAATAAAGCGGCTACAATAACGAGAAACTGATATCTTTTCAAAGGAAATCTGTTTCGTAAGCTTTGTAAAATTTAATTTCTGTGAGAAAATCCCGACTTTTCGTCATTGCAATAATTTCATTATGAATAATGCATTGTTTAATATTGTTGTAATTTGAATAAAATTCTTAGTTAATTGTATGTATTAAATAAGGAGAAGAATGAGCCTTGTAGGACCTCTTAATTTTTATTTTCACGCTTTGTATAGAATACAGTAGAAGCTCAATTTACTCTATAAAATCATATATTAAATTCATATTCGCCGTTCGTCTATCGTAAATACGTGTTGTACTACTCCTGAAGAATATAGGAAGAATATAAGAACTTAATTATTGCGGATTTTTTGCGTCTACAGCGAAAACAATAATTTGAATCACAGAATTCTTCGCAGAAAAAAGATGCGTTGTTTTAAGATGAAAAAAATGAGCCGTGGTGGACCCAAATCGGTCCAGCCGTTTCTTCGCAAATTGCCAAAATCGCTATTTTTAGCCTTATTGTCGAATTTCATAACTCCCATTTCAATTACTTTTAAGAGCTCACATTTAAACCAAATGTAGATATTGTAGCTTTGAAAATGCATATCAAATTTCAGATAGATCAGATGTAAACTTTTTGCGAACCGTAGACAAAACTAAAAAAAATGCCTTTTCAAAAAATGGCCCTAAATTAGTTTTGGAACTATGTAGGACCATGTTTTCAACGCGATGATTCTCTTCGTGAGTAACTGCATGAACTGATTGTTTTTAAAACCCTAACTTGTTTCGTACTACCAAAGACATGGATTAAGTTTTGGTATATTTTTGCAAAGTACCGGCAGTAGCTTGAGTAGTACTAACTTGGCACGTATCAATGAATTCCTAATAATAAATATAGTTGTCATAAATAAACAACTGTGATAATTGAATATTTTACTTTTTTTTTGTTCAGCTGCCATACTGTGGTATGTGTAACAGAATGTCATGTTATATTGTTATTGACAATGATAACTAAACATAAAATAAATCCCAAATATAATGTTGATAATAATTTCGGATACTGTTTTAGAAGTTTCGTACCCTATATTGTCTTCTATGTTGTTTCATGCTCATATATGAATTTTTAGGAAACGCGGATGGAAGTTAATACAATACACGCGAACTAACCATATTTTGAAATGACAAACATTTTAGTTTTACAGTACCTTACGCTTCTATTAAGTAACTTGAGTATACTATATGTGCTACGTGGGACATTGAAGTGTACAACGAACATAACTTTTCTACTGACAGTTAAGAGACAGTTTCAATTTCTTACGCACTGTTCCGCATTTAGTCTAAGGTTTGATCATTTATACAGTGTGCTTTCTCTGTTTCATTAAATATTTATTTCCTTAATAATGATTCCTCCTCATCTTCATTTACATCTTGGACAGTACTATTTTCGTCGTAATTTTAATCATAAGCTGTTGCACAAACAATTCTCACACCAAAACAAAGTAGTACAGAGTACCAACAAGCAGAAGCAAAGGTGTTATTCCTCGGAAGTTGAGACAAATCTGTACAAACGCACGCCCACTTTCTACAGGGCTAGGTCTTTATTACGTACATTGCTCATAACTTTTGAATTTAAAAAAACCTTGTAAACAAAGAGATTCAAAAGTCCTCTAAATAAATGGTGACAAAAAAAAGTAACACTATCGCTAAAATGTTAAAGCAGAATGATAAAAATGTACGTTGGAGATAAACAATTTTTTTTAATGTATAACCAATAATAAATAAACTGTCATGACAAGCATCACATTTTCTCACAGTTTGTCATTATTACAAATACACTAGAATATATTGACAATAGTATTGCAGTTAAGTATAATTGTATTACATTCAAAAGAAGAAATATAATACAAGACTTTGCAAAAGATTTTTTGTTATTATTTACAATATATTTGTTATTAAATTTACAATTTATCATCATTGTCAATAAACATGCAACATCACAATCTGTTACTTATATAACAATATCACAGAAATAACATAACTTTTTTAAATGTTACTAACTATATTATTTTACATTTAGTTGTCATTTGTTATTGACATGGAACATTTCATTACGTCACTCTCAAAAAAACCACACCACAGTATAGCAGCTGAACAAGAAAAAGGTAAAGTATGCAGTTATAACATTTGTTCATTTATGACTGCTATATTTATTTTAAGAAATTGGTTGACGGGTGCAAAATCAATTTTATTAAAAGTTATTCCAATTTTTAAAAAAATATTGATTTTTCATGCTCTAGACCGAAGATATCACTATTTTCACATTCATTCCAATTTGAAGATACTCTACTGAAAATGCGGAAAGCGCACTGCGAGGAAGTGGCAGCTCACTGCTTTTCGCAAAAATATATTATTTTTCAATCAAAGTTTACGGTACTTTAATTAAAATAAAATTCTAATGATTTATCAAGTTGTAGAGTAACTTTGGAAGAAGAGTATAGCGTTTAAAAAATGGTCCTACATAGTTTCAAAACTGGTTCAGGGCCATTTTTCGAAACGGCCTGTTTTTAATTTTGTTTGCGGTTGCATGAGGTTTACATCCTATCCAGATGAAATTTAGTGTGCATTTTAAGGGCTACAATATTTGCCTTTGGTTTGAATTTGAGCTCCTAATATTCATTAAAAAGCAAGTTGTTGAATTTTGGCATTAAGACTCAAAATGGCTGTTTTTTGCGATTTGCAAAGAAACGGCTAGATCAATTTGGCTCATTTTTTTCATCTTGAAATAGGACATCTTTGTGCAATGCGTTTTATGGTTTAAATTGTTTTTTTCGCTGTAGACGCAAAAAACCTACTTTAGCCATGTTTACCATTCTTTTGGGTTTCTACCTGACATTTTTTTTGTTTCTTTTTTGGTCAGGTACACTATAGAGGTTGAGATCTTTACCCTAATTTTTTTCTTGACAGGTGTTGCTTTTGACAAAATAAGGGTAGTTCTGTACCAAGGTAATGCTATAGTCCTAATGAACTGTATGTAACTGAATTTCAATGACGTTAATAGATAAACCATATAAGCAGATGAAGGTTACATTGACTGTACAAAAGAAATTAATAAAGCATTAACTAAAAATTAAAAAATTTTTATGAGTAACCTTCGTGCCACTAAGTTGGGTGGGTTTTTGCATTATAATTATTGCAACTATTCTAAAATCAGTTGTAGAAAGTCTTTTGTAAACTAAAAATAGAAAAAACTAGCATTTTTTTTTTGAAAATTGTAATATCAACTTTTTTTTACCTGCAGTACTTACATAAGTCGTATATTATCATTCATTTTTGGTGCCTAAAAGTTTTTACGGGCCTCCATTACGGAAAGATAAGTAGAGTGTAGTAGTAGCTTTACATTTGATTAGCACTATGTAGATTTATTATAAACTGGCTAAAGCGTCAAATTTTTTAATTTGGTAACAAATTAGTGACAAATCAGCGATAAACTAGGGTGCTTATTAAGAATGAGAAATTCAACTTAGTATTGTTAGCTTGACGTACCCGACGTTTATCACAATTAGCGGGGGGGGGGGGGCTTTCAGAACGGTGAGGTGAGCGCAAACATAAAGCAACGCTGGCAAGTATTTGCTCATCTGGATGTATCTGTAAATATACTTGTTTACGCATGCTTGACCCCTTCTTTCTTATTTCATTGAA